CTCTCTCTCTCTCTCTCATCTCTCTCTCTCATCTCTCTCTCCTCGCTCTCTCTCTCTCTCTCTCTCTCTCTCTTCTCTCTCTCTCTCTCTCTCTCTCTCCTCTCTCTCTCTATTTCTCTCTCTTTCGCTCTCTCCCTCTTCTCCTCTCTCCTCTTCCTCTCTCCCTCTCTCCCTCTTCCTCTCTCCCTCTCTTCCTCTCTCCCTCTCATCACCTCTCTCCCTCTCTCCTCTTCCTTACTCTCCTCCCTCCTCCCTACCTCCCTACCTCCCCTCCTCCCTCCTTCACCTTCCTCTCCTTATCTCCTCTCCTCTCCTGTTCATCCTTCATCTCTCTACTCTCTCTCATCTCTCGTTCATCTCTCTCTCATCTCATCTCTCTCTCATTCTACTTCTCTCTTCTACTCTCTCTCTCTCATCTCATCTCTCTCTCCTCTCTCTTCTTCTCTTCTCAGTCTCTCTGTTACTCTCATGATTCTCTTCTGTCTACCTACATGGTCTCATCTGTTCTCCTACTCGTGTTCCATCTTCTGTCTCATATCATCTCTTCCTCTCTCTCTTCTCTCTCTCTTCTTTCTCTCTCTCTCTCATCTTCTCTCTCTCTCTCATCTCTCTCTCTCTCTCTCTCTCTCCATACCTCTCATCTCTCTCTCTTATTCTCATTCCTTCTGCTTACCTCTTCTCCCATCTATGCTCCTCTCTCCTCTCTACCTCTCTTCCCTCTCTCCCTCTTTTTCCTGCTCTCCCTCTCTTCCCTCTCTCCCTCTCATTCCCTCTTCTCACTTCTCTCCATCTCTCCTCACCTCCTACCCTCCTCCTTCCTCCCTCTCCCTCCGTCCCTCCTCACACTCCTCCCTATACATCCTTTCTCCCTTATACACTCACTCAATAAATGGTCTCTCTCTCTCTCTCTCTACTCTCTCCTCTCTCTTCTCTCTCTACTCTCTCTTCTCTTCTCTCTCTCTCTCTCTCTCTCCTCAAATCTCTAACTCTCTTCCTCTCTCTCTCTCTCTTCTCAGTCTCTCTGTCTCAATCTGATCTCTCTGTTCTCGATCTTGTACTCAATTCTGTCATTCTCTGTCCTCTCTCTCTCTCTCTCTCTCTCTTCTTCTCATCTCTCATCTCTCTCTCTCTCTCTCTCTCTCTCTCTCTCTCTCTCTCTCTCAATCACTCTCTCTGTCTCTTTTCATCTCATGTCTCTATTTTCTCTCTCGTCTGATCTTGCTTTTTCTCTCTCTCTGCTAATATCTCTTTTTCTCTCTCTCTTGTACTCTTTTTTTTACATCTCTCATTCTCTAGTCATCTTTTTTCTCTTCTCTTACTGTCTCTTTTTTCTCTCTCTCAGATGTCTCTTCTTTACTCTTCAATCTACCTGTTCTCTTTAATCTAACTCTCGATCTCTGTCTTCTTTCTCGCATCTCTTCTTCGTCTTCTCTCTCTCTCTCTCTCTCTCTCCTCTCTCTGCTCTGTCTCTCTCTCTCTTTCTCTTCTCTACCTCTCTCTCTACATCTCTCTCTCTCTCGTCTCTACTCTGCTGTCTCTCTTCTCTGTCTCTCTCTCTCTGTCATCTCCTCTCTCTAGCATCATTCTCTCTCCTCTCTCAATCTCTCTCTCGTCTCTCTACTCTCTCTTCTCTTCTCTCTACTCTCTCTCTCATCTCTACTCGTCTCTCATTCTCTGCAGTCTCTGTTCCTCGCTCTCTCAATGTCTGTCTCTCTTCTCTCTCTCTCTCTCTCCTCGTCTGAGATCTGTTCGCTTTCTAACTCTCTACTACTCTCTCTCTTTCTCTCTCTCTCTTCTCTCTCATACTCTCTCTCTCCTCTCTCTCTCTCATTCTCTCTTCTTCTCTCTCTTTCTCTCTCTCTTCTCTCTTCTCTCTCCTCTCTCTCTCTTCTCTCTCTCATTCTCTCTCTCTCTCTCTCTCTCGTCTCTCTCTCTCTCTCTCCTCTCTCTTGCTCTCTCTCTCTCCGTCTCTCTCTCCTCTCTCTCCTCGTGCTCTCTCTCTCCTCCTCTCTCTCTTCTTCTCTTCTCTCTCTCTCTCCCTCTCTCTCTCTCTCCTCTACCTCTTTTCCCCTCTCCCTCCCTCCCCCTCCCTCCCTCCCTTCCCCCTACCTCCCTCCCTCGCCCTCTCTCCCTCCCTTCCCTCCCCTCCCTCTACCTTCCTCATCGCCTCGCCTCCCATCCCTGCCTTCCCTCCACTCATCTAGATATATCTTGACTGTAACTTTATGAAATGTATCTAAATTTTGCTCACAGGTAAGGACGGCTCACAAGAGAGATTTTTTTTTTATTTTTACTTATGTAATTGCACTCTAGCATATTTAGATAAACCTCCTTATAACCTCTTTGTCAGTAATGATAAATAATAATAGTAATGATACTAATAGCATTAGGAAAAATAAGAAGATTCAAGGAATGGGATATCAGTTGAAGTCAGATAAGCCTGCTAATTGATTTCTTTTATAAACAAAATTCTCAAAAGAAAACATACACAATGGGTTAATTAAAGTTAAAGATAGAATGATTATTTGAACTGAATTATCAGAAAACTCAAATTTGTGATATACCAATGGTATTCACTGAGTCATAGTCTTAAAAAGATCTTTGTTAATAATTTATTTCCAGTTAAAGAAAAAAAGCGAACAAATTCACAAGAAACTAAACAATAATTACCCCCAAACATTGTAATACTCAATCAGAAGGTCTATAGATTATTAAGTAATAATGTTTCAATAGACACTTGTGCTAGACCACAAACCAGTGGTATTCACTGAGTCATAGTCTTAAAAAGTTTGTTAATAATTTACTTCCATTTAAATAAAAGGCAAACAATTCACAAGAACCAAACAATAATTACCCCCAACATATATTGATAAAGGATTAGATTGGCAATATGTTTTATGGACACTTGTGCTAGACCACAGCTGCACGATGGCCCAGGTGTCACATACGTAGCGGTATGCCATGTTAGGAGTTGCCATTTCTGTGGTTATTCTCATCTTGTTTTTTATTCATTTATTTTTTTTTCTATTGCTTTTCAAAAGACACTAGGAACTGATAGATATGTTTAGGTAATTATTTTTCATGATACTAGTTAAAAGTGATGTTTCTTGCTTAATGAAGAGGTTTATACCATAGGTAATATGTGTCAGGTTAATCACAGCCAAGACTTAGGTATTGGTTTAGGGGATGTGGCAGTGAACATTGTGATGTGGTGTTGTGTAGAAGTGAGGAAGTTTTTATTGTTATCAGCATTGCATGTTTCTGTTATATGGTAATTTTATTAGCATATTTACTTTTTATATTTATCTGTTTGACTGGATGGAAATATAATAAGACAAGTTAAAAGTTAGAGGATGTGAATGGAAAGGAAGCTCAGAATAAATGTTGATATACATATTTTTCCTCTGAAGTCTTCCTATGTACCCTGATTCTTGATAGCATGAAGATATTAAGCCTTTCTCTGTCTGGTACCCACTGTACAGTATCACTGCTGAGGAAGCATTCTTATACTTGTTTTCTATAAAACAGGCTTAAAATTTTTGATATGCAAATTGTACAGGGAATATAAAAGAAATTTTAGATTTTGAGATTCTACTTAAATAAGATAGAAGGAGAACTATTTTACTGCATGTGGAATTATGAATTATGAATTTATACTTGACATATTTATCATCTAAAGGAACATGCAGACTTATAGAGAAAGGACCGTAGAAGATTGTTCCAGCTTGAAAAGAAAATAAGTGAGTCCCTTGGCACACCAAGTTGATGATTGGACACGGTTGAACAGCATGAAACAAGACTGGACACTGGAAAGTGGCAGCAAGATATTAATAGACCTGAAATGAAGGAGATAAATGAGACTGGAGAAATTCACGTTGGCGGCCAGAAGAAAAAGCAGAAAGATTCTCGCAGGTCAGTCGTAGAGAGTTCCATTTTAATATATTCACAATGACTAAAAATTCGAAAGATAGTGTTAATGGTTAAACTCATTTCCCAAATGATAGCAATTAATAAACATATGATTTAAAATAAAGAAAGTGAAGAAAGAAAGTAATAGAATAAAGTACTGATCTTCCTGTGTATTGTGTAGTTTTTCTTCATATTTTGTGTAATATTTTTAATTATATATTTATAATTTAATTTAAAGGTTTCTTGTTTTCTTCCTTGTACACAGCTAACAATCTTCTTAATAACTACTAGTTCAATAATTGATAAATACATTCATGAATATAAGAAAAATAAATAATATGAAGATCACAGTGATAAGATTAATATGACATTTGATAAAATTTTACAGAGAACCGCATATGAATAACTAGTTAGAGTAAAGAGTGTATAAGTTCTAGATCTTGTCTGTGGTGGTCTCGGTCCTTAAAAGAAAGCCAAAACCAAAGATTACTCCTGAAATCAGAAATGAAGTACATCTTACAAATGGAAATGTTTCAGAAGAAAATAACTCTGAAGGTGAGTTGACTTGTTTGATGTGTTTAAGATAGCTATTCCCTTAAATCACTCTTAATTTCATCTCTCTGTCTACCTCCCTCCTCACCCCATTGTAGTGTGTGTGTGTGCTGTGGTGGTGTGTGATGCCTCGCTGTTCTTGGTGCCCTGTTCTATTTATCTATGAGTTAAGAGATATACTATCTCAGTTTAATAAAGTTAGCATCACATTAGGCATTTTGGTTAATTGTTATAAATTATGATCATTACTAGTGATTGAGTAATCTGATTTAAGTAATATTGTACTAGGAAAAGTAGCTAATATAATCACTCTCACTCATAGCAATATAAGTATAGGTGCAGTGCTTCATGTGAGTAAATGAAGAGTTTATAACTGTGGAATCTGCGGTCTGAACTCGAAACTGAGAAATCAAAGTATAATCAGCTGCTCAAAGTCTCCGAGGAAAAGCAAATGGCTTCAGAGAGTAATGGAGAATCTCTGGGAACAGGTGAGTCTGCGTGTTGTGTACTCTTTTTGTTGTTGATTTTATTTTTGTAAG